CGGATGGGCGCTGTAACCAGCTGAGCTATCGGGAAGGACTTGTCAATGCCTGAAAGCTGTTATAGGGCTTTCCTGCCTTGAAATTGATGCTTTCGAGGCCTGAGATGGGCTCTCTACGCTTACTTGGATGACAAGCAACAAACGAATTTTTTCCACAATTCCGCCAGCGGCCCCATTTTGGCACCTGACAGTGGGGGGGGGGGAAGATAGTTTTGGCGTTTTCCTGTCACATGGGGGACAGTTCGCCTCGCGGGTACTACGCCACTGGCTTTCTGAGTCTGCCATGGACCCACCCCCAGAACAGAGATGGGCGCTTCTCAGGCTCAAAAGTGAGATAGACCTTAAGTTCCCCGTTCCGTTCCGACCCTGAAGCTCCCTTTTCTCAACTTTTTCTGGGTCCCTACATGACTTGAGGCGTGCGGCTTCTGAGTTTCTGATAACCCTTTCTAGACTTGAAAGGGGCCTCTCTTGAACCTACGACTGGCCATTTTCCCGACCTGAGATGGGCCTTTTTGATCTTACAATGAGCTCTTTCCAGACCAGAAATGGGCCGCTGCAACCATGCCCTGGAAGTGATATGAGGTTTCCTCCCCGTCTTGAAATGGACCATTCCCAGCCTAACATGGGCCCTTGGAGGACCGGACCCAGACATGGGCCTTTCCTTTCCGGACCAGACATGGCCTTCTTCGTTTGCTTTAGTGACGCGGCAAACAATACCACATGCCCGTGGGTTTCTGCTGGACCATCTGAAATTATGAGGGGGAAGTCAAAAGATACTTTTGCCACCGCCTCAAAAGATGAGGGGCAGTTTGCCCCCGCTGCTCCCCCCACCGCTCGGATACGCCGACACTGCTCAGGCATGTCGTGTATCGCGCAAGTCTTGAGCATCCACGAGGACATTCATTGCGCACTTTTGCATCGAAGACGTGCCTGTCTAGCTTTCTGTTCCCTGCGTAGCAAATCTTTTCAGGAAGGCTGCACGGCAATCCACGCGGCCGCCGTGGACGGCGGCCAGCAACCGACGATTCCGCCAATGGGAGGGGGGTATGGAGAATGTTGGGTAAGTAGGAGTGCTGCTCTCCACCATCATACAGAGAGTGCTCGGCGAGCACTCTCTGTGAGCACTGCTCGCGTACATCTAACTTCCTCATTTTTGGAAACACTTCCCCGATGCAAGTTCAAAGATATAGAGGAGGACGAAATGGGGTAGAAAATCAATTTTCTGAACGTCATCAAGACTTTCCCAAATAGTTCGTTCTTCAGGACACCGAGAACTGTTAGGCCAGTGGCCAAAGTCTTAGGAACATAAATCACAATTGAAAGATGCTCTGCATTCGATAGCTTTCTCCATTTCCCCAGAAATATCTACCAGCTTATCTCCTCTCAATGTCCTTTGTGCAGAGTTTGCTCTTTGCGCAACTTAACCATATTTCATAAACGTGAGACTGACAACCGAAGCCAGGGGTTCGAGTTTTGTACGCACCAAATGGAAGCCAAAATCAATGGGTTGTAAACCACGTAACACCAAGCCAAATTCAAGCCCATCAGTTCAGAATGGTAGGTCGAAACCGAAGTTCAAGCCAGTCCACAACATTATTTGCGAAAACCGAACCATTGTCGTTTCTGTTAAAACTGCACGGGATCGAATGTGTCTGTTAAAACTGTGCAGGATCGAACGTGTCTGTTAAAACTGCACGGGGTCGAGCGTGTCCGCAAAAGCTATGCGAGATCGCAAAATCTGTTTAGAATTTTTCAGAGCGGTTGAGGCGAGGTGTTGGCATTACGGATGAAAGATGCTTTCGACTGCCGTCCTCGTTGCATGTTGATATGTATACAACGTTTCGGGTGTAGTTCCATAGCCGCAGTCAGGTTTTACTGGTCCCGCACATTGGTCCCGCTTGAGCCGCACTATGCGGGCCGCACTGTGCGAGCCTGTCTGTTATGTTAAGAGGGCGTCCCCCACAGACCACATCGTGTGACGTCATCTATGTCATAATGTGCATTTTTTCCAGGCGTGCGCACAAAGTCTAAGTCTGCTTCTTTTCGAGGCACCGCTACACCGGTGTTTCGCAGGAATATTGGGCGTGGTGTCGCTTGCGCTCACGGTGAACAATATCGAAGACACCCTGCCCGCGCACGTCGGACGGTCGTTAGTTGTGGAAGATTTTGTCATTTGGGTTGTGGCATCCACTACGGCATCGGCAGCGCGTCAACTCCAGCTCTGAGTGGACAAAGTCACCAAATGGAGCTCCACCAGCGGTTTTACACTATCAACGACAAAGACAGTGTGCATGCACTTCTGCCACAAGAGGAAACATCGCAGCGACCCAGACTTGGACCTGCATGGCAGCACTATCCCGATGGCCGATAGCTTCAAATTTTTGGGTCTGGTTTTGGATCGCCGTCTTTCCTATACAGACCATTTCAAGAATCTCCGCACTAGGTGTTTTAAGTCCCTAGACACCCTTAAGGTGGTTTGTGTTGTATGGAGTAGACCGCAAAGCTTTGATCATGCTGTATCGCTCAATGATCAGGTTCAAATTCGACTACGCATGCGCAGTCTACGACTCGGCTCGCGAATCCAGCAGGAAGGTGCTGGACATTATTCATTATCAAGGGATACGTATTGATACCAGCGCGTTCCGCACGTCACCTACGACAAGCCTGCTCGTAGACGACAACGAGTCACCACTGGACCTGGGGCGCCGCTAGTTAGCTATGCGGCGCGCTATCAGCATATACCAGTTTCACACGCAACCAGCGCACGACACGATGTTCTCGGCAGATCTGGTGGTTTCTTTTCTCAGGGAAGGGTAGGAAAGATGCAACACCTCTGAGTACGTGTAAGTGAATGGCTCGGCACCGCTGGAGTAGATGTACAACAAATGCAGCCTCGTGTTTTGTTTTTGTTTTTTTATTTTTTTTCATTGCAGAACCATGGCTAGCCTTACCTCCAACATGTGACACATCACTCACCAGAATCTGCAAGGGATTGACGCGAGCTGCTGAGCTGGAAGATGGATCTCAAAAGTTCATGTGCACAACGTACAGACGGTCGACACTTCCGCACGAATGGATCCAGAACGAACCTGGGTGCCGGATGCGCATTCGTGTCGTCGCGAGCCTCTGAACGGATTGCGTCACCGACATCGGCGTCCGTTTTTACTGCCGAAGTTCTCGCCATCCTGAGTTGTCTTTCTTGACTGCATTGTACAAGTTAACCTACCATCGTACACAGTGCTTACTGACTCGCTGAGCTCGGTTTTGGTTATCCAAAACATATCGACGGCAGACACAGATCTAGCGCAGCTAACCGTAAGTAAACTCTCCAGCCTGCGGCGGAGGGGCCAGCTGGTAGAGCTGGTTTAATTCCCAGCCACGTCGGTCTGGCCGGAAACGGATCAGCTGACCAGGCTGTGAAGGCAACCACCCTGCTGCCGCCCAACGGTGCCGTACGAGTCCTGCGAGCGACCTGTACGCGTCAATAAAACTCTACGTTACAACAGAATGGCAGACAAGGTGGGGTCAGAAGAGCAGCAAGGGCAAGCTCAAGTCCATTAAACCTAGGGGAGTATACTGGCCGTCCTCATTTCGTAAGTCAAGGAAAGAAGCCATATTGACTCGCCTACGTATTGGCCATGGTTTAGCACGCACTCACCCGACTGAGCAACGCAGCAGACGCCCCTTCGTGCGATAGGTGGGACGAGATTCTCTCTGTCAGGGATGCACTGGTAGAATGTGTACTTCTTGTTGCTGTCAGACGACACTTCTTTGGACGTAAATTTGCCCTGACTTCACTTGTGGGTGAATGTCCTAGATCGACCTAAGTGATGCGGTACTGTTCTTGACCGCTATTGGAACTCACGCCTCAATAGCACTCTGAAATCGCCGTTTAATTAAGATGTGAGGTGAGCGCAAGACGGCCTCACTAGCGACGCGCTTTTTAACACCAATCATCATCATGTTTTCGAAGCATCGAGACAGTGAGTCAAAATGACTCTTCAGCTAGAAAAATGTCACTTTGGCTCACACTCACGTTCTGACACTTGGGGTTCTTGTAGCGCTTTTGGAATCCCATCGCAACACGTACCACGCAATATACACTGCTCTGCGCAAAGATGACATATTCATGCTAACATCTTTACAGAAATTTTTCGTATGTGTGTTATGCTTTGAGATAATAGAATTCAACGCTGGAGCATGCCTTGCTGAAGCTGTCAGCCCTGCTACGGTGCGTGCACGCATGCATGGCTTTTACGTAACGCTGGAGAAAACTCAATGAATAATGTGTCTGTGTATCCGGCAAGCGTTTCCTGTTGTCTACTGAAGCTACAGTCAAAGAATAAGCGGCAACTCGTGCAGCAGACCGAGCTAGCGCACCCATCACTCAACGCTAATAGATTTCGGGAACGAATGCTCGACGCCAGCATGGTCGTTTATCTCCCCGCCTCCGTCCGAAAAGCGTCCTTGTTGCGGTGACGACATGCAAAGCTCATCATCGTTTCAGGCACGTGCGGGTACAGCGCAGCCGGTGCCATGTTCTGGCCGTCTGTCAGCGCAGGGTGACGAATGCGCTCTTCCCCAAACACGCGATAACTCGGCTCGAGCCGGTGTTGTTTCGCATAACATGGCGGCCGGGAGCGGTCTGGGCTAGCGGGTGAGATGAGGCCTCAGCTCTCGTCTCTTTGGTTTGCTTACCGGTGCAAGCAATAAAAAAGAAACTTTTCCGGGGGCAGTATCACACTCAGAGGATGGGGAAGAGAATAGGTCGAGCTGGACCACCCTCGTTAGCTCGGAGGGGGCTCCCTGCCTGGTCTAGGGCCTCTATATGCATGATCGCATGGGGAGCCTGAGGGGGGCTTGACCTGCTCCCACGGCGCTGTCCTGATAGTGACAAAGCCCGGTGTGCCCACTGAGAGCCTGAATCAAGCTGACTACCACCTGGCCCCGGCACCGGCCTGCCCGGAGCGGCTGTCAGTGACCCTGATCACCACGGACAGACTTTGACGACGAAGAACGACCCCAGCTCCTGCAGCGTCCGCTAG